TACAATTCCTGTCACTTCTGCAGTAGCTGAAAGGTCATTTAGCAAATTAAAAATAATAAAAAATTATTTAAGAAGTAATATGGGCCAAACTCGACTCCGACATTTATCGCTAATAGCAATTGAAAACAAAACCGCATCAAGCCTGGATTTAAACGAAGTCATTGATACTTTTGCGAAAACTAAAGCTAGGAAAAAATTGTAAATATAATTGTTATTTAGTCAGTTGGTAGGCCCCACCTTTATATAATAAACCCTTGAATCTTCTCTATTTCGTTTTATTAGCCAAACCTACACCAAGTATTAATTGTAATTTATGTTGTTACTGTTTAATATTTTTATTACCTGCCCTGCAGTGCACAAAGAAAAAGTTAAGTAGCTTAGCATTTTTAAAGTATTTGTATATTTCATTATTTGATAAAACCTAATCAGTTTACATAGCAGTGGGGCCCCATTTTTTAATTTGTCCCAGGGCCCTTGGTTACCTAGCTACGCCACTGCTAATAGTATTTTTAGATTTTTAAATTAGCTGATAATTTGTAATAAACTTATTTTTTTTAAATACGGACCTGCATTTTTTATTTCAGGTTTTGAAAGAACTTGGTCTGCTGAGTATATGCCACACTTTATACTTTTTTTGTTTTGGGTACCTTAACAACAACAAAACTATTTAATTGTTATTTAAAATAATTTCAAGTCCCACTCTGTTTTTTTTTAATTATTTAATCTGATTATATTCAGTACAACAATATTGATCAGCGCTAATTAACATTGAATAAGGAAAATCGAGCTAATTGAAAGATTCAAATAATTAATATCCAGGTCAGCAATTTAAAGATATCTATTATTTTTAACTTTTTTTATTGTGAATTTGAAATCTCAGTGTACGATCTAATAATATGCATAATATTAATCGTATTTATTATAAATAATTCAACTTCTATAAACTAGTTTCTAATGCTCTGCATGTTCGAAAGGGTTACCACCCTCCATAATGCACACATTTGTTTTTTGTTCAATCTTATTTATAACTATTAGAACAGATCTTTTTCTTATACTTCCGAATGCATTTTGTACTCTTTAATTGTTTTTTATAACTCGTTAATTGTTTTTGTACTCTTAATGTTGAAATGTATTGATTTCAAATGTCCAAAACAATTTTTATTGATTTTCCATATTCAATGTTAATTAGCGCAGATCAATATTGTTGTGACGAATATAATCAGATCAAATCAATTAAAAAACCAGAGCCGGATTTGAAATTATTTTAAATAACAATTAAATAGTTTTGTTATTGTCAAAGTACCCAAAACAAAAAAAAGTATCAAGTGTGGCATATCATTGTACTCAGGAGACCGAGTTCTTTCAAAATCTGAAATAAAAAATGCAGGTCCGTATTTAAAAAAATTAAGTTGGCCTCTGTATCTAACAAATTATGAGCTAATTTAAAAATCTAAAAATACCACCAGATAGCTCTAATAAAGTGGCTACGAGAATGTGCAACTAGTTTTTTGATTTTCTAAAAAGTAACGACAGGAAAAAATAAAATTGATATTCAAAAAAATCCGTTTTTTTTTTTAATATATTACGGTTACCGAGATACCAATGCTCGTACCTCGAATTTGTAGCACCCTGTATAGCCAAGAATCATAATTCATTCAAAATCCAATATTTTTCTGGGGGTGCCCCAGATCTAACCTAACCTAAAACCCAGCGGTACCTGGGGTGAGCCTGCACCCTCAGGCCCAGGCCTCCCTGTAGTTGCGCCAATGATAATGCACGGCTCCTTACTTTATCCCCTCCTTATTTGTCTAAACCTATACATATAGGTAGTCTGAAGCTAGATCAATTTTAATAAATGAACAAGTAAACTTTATTTAACTAAAATCTATTACTAATTATAAATAACCCAATTAAATTTCTGTGTAAATATGTAATCTAAAAACTGCTATATAATTTAGGAAAATATCTACCTATCTAAATATCTAAACACTTTTATTACAACAGGGGTCTCCCAGTGCGAATTTACAATTTTTTCTAATGACTTTATGACATTTTACCTGTATATAATAGAAATTGCATTGGCATAAATAAAAAAAGGAACATAAATTCCATTTAAACCATACAAATGGGAAATCAAATATTACCAATAAATAAATCGAATGGTTTATTATTTAAGGGGCGTGTATCCCCACATTTTTTAATTTTTCACCAGAAACATAAAACCTTCAACTTTTCTTTTAATTTTTATTTTAAAATTGTAAATGGTAGATATTAGGTCTCATTGAAACCGCTTCTAGACAGTTTTTTAAAATAATTACTATTTCGGCCTTTTTGAAGCATATTAAGTAATAGACTTGTGCCTTTTTAATATAAATATATAACAAACCGAGTAACAAACTAAACAAACGTAAAAGCACTATGAAAAAAGATTGATTTTATTGATTTCAAGCATAATTATACTTTTTATTAAAACAACGCATTTTTGCAAGGAGAAACTGAAAAAGCAAACTAAACAACCAAAAATAAATTCACAAAAAAAAAATACTATTTAAACTAAATTCGGGGACGGCGTACAACGTATTTGTTTTAAAGGTCACAAGTCCGAGACATATGCCTATTTAAAAATAAACAATAATCTCCATCGACTATACAGGGTTGTTCACCACATACGACACGGAGTATTGTAGCTAAACGATTAGATTTTTACAAATTGTAAGTTTTGGGTTCGTTGAAGGACTATTAGAGCTACAATTTAAAAATAATTTTACAAGATACAGAGTGTCCCAAATAAATAAAAAATATCGAAGTTGTATTTTTTTAAATGGAACACCCTGTATATTATTACATTTTTAGTTTCTACGATTAAAATAAAAGTAAATTTGGTTAAGGTTTATTACACTTAAACCTTACCGTTTTTGAAATATTTTCAATTTTGTGAAATTGCAGTAAAATTTTTAAGGCTTCATTTCTCCAAGGGTATCAAAGTTTTTAATACCTACTAAATATTTACTGAAGTCTATTTATTGATCAGTTATTGTGTTGCAATAATAAAAATAATACTTCCTCATATAGAGTGTCTAAAAATTTATTTTAAATTATTGCTAGCTTTAAACGGCAATAAAAATATTTAATTTAAATGGAACGCTTTGTATATTTTAGGAGAATCAGATGCACAATTTAATTGTCTATCAAATTTCATTATACCATTTTTTACTATCCCTTCAAGTTTTCGTAGAAAATGCATTTTCTTATCATTTATACCTCATTTATCAATATACCTATGGAATATTGACATCTTAGACTGTTTTTAAAGCAAAAAATGTACAAAATGTACAGGCTAGGTTAGGTTATTATAGTTTTTAGCAAAATGATAATATTACTAGCCCATTTATATGCAAAAAGAAAACTATTTAAATCTTTATAAAAGAGTATACCATTAATTAAATATACCACCATTATTTCCGCTCAAATACTAATTAATTACATACTTAATTATGTTCGTTAATAAATTATTCTAAATAAATGTAGATTTGAATCAGAAATCAATATAATAATAAGTTATGAAAATGAATGTCTCTGTTGTTATAAATAAGCATTGGTCAAAAAATAAAATATCATTTTTAAGGTGTTATTTTTTACCACACTATCTAATACCCACACAAAATTCAGTTTTTTAGTATTTGGAGCAATTATTATTAATCAACGCAAACAGTCAATTAATGTAGTTTGAATACTGGAATCATATTAATTGGTTCTCTTTAACAAATATTTAAACAGTTTTATTTCTATTTCTTAATGAAATAAGCAAACTATATCGACAATATTAGTATCTATATTCTTTAAAAATTTGGTACATCTTTAAAAATAATCTAAAATGTCAGTATTCCATAGGTATATTGATAAGTTTTAAATAACAAGAAAATGCGTTTTCTAGGGAAACTTGAAGAGGTAGGTAATAAATGGCATAATACAATTTGATAGACAATTAAATTGTGCATCTGATTCTCATGAAATATACAGGGTGTTCCGTTTAAATTAAGCAAGTTATTGCCGTTTAAAGCTAGTAATGATTTAAAATAAAATTTTAGACACTCTGTATAAGGTAGTATAATTTTTATTATTGCAGCACAATAACTGATCAATAAATAAACTTCAGTAAATATTTAGTATTAAAAACTTTGATACCCTTGGAGAAATGAAGCCTTAAAATTTTGACTGCAATTTCACAAAATTGAAAATTTATCAAAAACGCTAAGATTAAAGTGCGGTAAACCTAATCAAATTTACCTTTATTTTAATTGTAGAAACTAAAAATGTAATAATATACAGGTTGTTCCATTTAAAAAAATACAACTTTGATATTTTTTATTTATTTGGGACACTCTGTATCTTGTAAAAATATTTTTAAATTGTAGCTCTAATAGTCCTTCAACGACCCCAAAACTTACAATTTGTAAAAATCTAATCGTTTAGCTACAATACTCCGTGTCGTATGTGGTGAACAACCCTGTAGAATCGTATTGAGTAAATAAAGGGATTTATGAATTGTCATAAGCAAGCTTCTGATAGGTATTAGCATTTTTTTGAGATTAAAAAGCAAGCTTCAGCAAGATGTAGGCGAAAATATTAAAATTATCGATTAAGATAATATTGCTAATTTTTAATAAATATACATATCGTGCGATAGAAAAAAAAACGGCCTCAGAGATTGTTTGGAAATGAAGATCGCTGTCATTTTATAAGTAAAAGTATGAATGTCATCGATCGTCATTTCCAAACTAAACTGGACGCCGATTTTTTTTCGATCTTACGGTATATCTAAACACTGATATTATTTTGAACGAAACATATCGACTGGTTCGAATTTAGACCATGCCAGCCGACGACATCGTAGCACCCTCTGCGCTAATAGCCCGTCTAACCAACGCCTCCTCGGAGGCCGCCGATCGAGCTACACCCACGGCGCGAATGGCCCACCCTTTTCCACTATTTCAACATACCTGTGTCGAGTTTTCGATCACAAATTCGGCTTTCGGCTGTCCCTCAGAACTCATTCTTGACCGACAATCTATCCGTCATCGTTTTTCACTGGCTAACTATCGATGTTAAACGTGTGCACGCCGCTGAATTGCCAAGCTGGCTGCCGTCACTACGCGTCGAAATATTCGATTCCTTTCTTTGTTCGGTATTTTTCGAATACTTCGAAATAATGTTGAACGTAGCGAAGAAAATCCGGCGAATATTATTATTGTAACACAGAAATAATCGAAATTGGGCGTAAATATTGTTTTTTCCGTTATCGAATGTACAAAACGCGGGTTAAACCATGCGGTTCACAGGCAGGCCGAACGAAACAGAAACCACGCCATTCGGGGACTGGCTTGGGTGGGGAGGGATCGTGCAGCGGTCCTTCAACTTCGGGGCCCGGTGATCTAACCCGACAGTGGCGTTACGTCGACTAGGGATAATGCTTTTGTTTTTTATTTTTTATACAGGGTGTTTCAAAACAAATGCGAAAAACTTCAGGGGGTGATTCCTTGTTCAAAATAAAGGGTAGTTTGCTTCATAAACGTTGGGTCAAAAGTCAACCATTAGGGAGATATAGCGGTACAAAGATGGCGGAAAAATAATGTTTTTATTTTTTATATTGAAAACGAAAAGAGATAGACTAATAAAATTTTATGGAAGCATTACTGTTATGAAAACACTTTCTGGTAATTTTTTTACTTTTTTAAAATGAGTGGAAGAGGTTGAAATAAACTACCCGTATCATTCTTGTTAACGAAATTTAAAGAAAAATCTTATCAAACACATACAAAAAAATTAATTTGGATAGTTTAGTTTGTTTAGAAACTTTTTTATCTCTTTTTTTGATAAAACTCACCGATTTGAAATTAAAAAATAAAATGTAAAGCATTACATGCCAGGACAAAAAACATTTTCTGATAAAGAATCTAGTGGGCTGCTGTAATTTTTTTAGGAAAACATCTAGTCGGCCGCTGTTACTTTTTAGGATGTTCCTAATATTATTTTATTTGACATTACTCTACTGCAATACGTTATTATCTAGATGATTATTATTATCGTTATTATCACTAGATTCTTAATCTAAAAATGTTTTTTGTCCTGACATGTAATGCTTTACATTTTATTTTTTAATTCGGATTTCAAATCGGTGAGTTTTATCAAAGAAACCCAAGACATAAAAAAGTTTTTAAACAAACTAAACTATCCAAATTAAAGCATTTGCATGTGTTTGATAAGATTTTTCTTTAAATTTCGTTAACAAGAATGATAGGGGTAGTTTATTTCAACCCCTTCCACTCATTTTAAAAAAGTGAAAAAATTACCAGAAAGTGTGTTTTCATAACAGTAATGCTTCCATAAAATTTCATTAGTCTATCTCTTTTCGTTTTCAAGATAAAAAATTAAAACATTATTTTTCCGCCATCTTTGTACCGCGATATCTCCCTAATGGTTGACTTTTGACCCAACGTTTATAAAGCAAACTACCCTTTATTTTGAACAAGAAATCACCCCCTGAAGTTTTTCGTATTTGTTTTGAAACACCCTGTATACAGGGTGATCCGAATTGTATTCGTGAAACTTTGGTAATATATTCTGCAGTTAAAAATAAGCAAAAAAGTTCATGTACATTTATGTCTGAAAATGCTTCGTTTCGGAGATACAGAGTGTAAAAGTTTCATTTTTATTTCGATTTTTTCTAAATAATTTCTGAACTAAAGTCGATATTTGGACCAAAATTAGTGTCTGGGTGTATTTTGGCACGAGCGATTTAATTCTAATGTCAATATGACTCCTGCTTATAGGGGGCGCCACCTACATGTTTTTTAATTGTTTTTACGAGTAATAACTTTTTGTCTGTACCTGTATAAAACTACTGTGTGAAAAATATAAATTTCTTTCGTTTTTTACGTAAAAAAAGTCTCTTCGTAAAAATACCTGGTGCGTCTTAAAAGTGGCTCACCCCTATAACTTTTTTATTTTTTTCAGTTAAAAAAGCGAGATTTGGTATGTTAGTATATGACATAAATTAGGATTGGTTGACGTATTCAATTGTTTTCGGTTACTTCCTGTTTCACCGGAAATGACAACAACTTTTGATTTTTAAATGGCACCCTAGGTATTTTTTACTTTATTTGATAGAAAATAACAATCTGAATAGAATGACATATCATATGCCCACAGAATGACATATCATATGCCTCAACTTTTGACAATTTCGCATATGATTTATTTGCTAATGAGCCACCCTCGTTCCATTTGAAAAAATTGAGATATGATTAAAAATACGATTTGGGCATCTTTTAACCATCCAGGACAAGACACTAAAAACATTAGACGATCAAATCTATTTTTCCAAGGCTGCTTGATTAAGAATAAGTGTTTTTAACATAGCCATGGCACTCTAGATTGAAATTTAAAATACTATTTTTTATTAAGCGAGAATGTCAAAAGTTGACATATGTTATATTATTCGATTCAGAATATAATTTTCTATCGAATAAAGTGAAAAAATACCGAGGGTACCATTTAAAAATCAAAAGTTGTAGTAATTTCCGGTGAAACAGGAAGTGACCAAAAACAATTGAATACGTCAATCAATCCCAATTTATGTCATATACTAACATACCAAATCTCGTTTTTTTATTTGAGAAAATAGAAAAGTTATAGGGGTGAGCCACTTTTGAGACGCACCCGGTATAGCTATTTTGGGATCGTCGCGAGATATTTGGAATCGATGTAATCAACACATGTCATCATTGACAACAATTAAACGTGTTGAATACATAATTATTACTGAAATAATAAATTTAAATGTTTTTGTCTCAAAGGTTCAACAGAAACTGTTTTTAAAACTAAAAGAGTTTCGTACTTCCATTGTCTCTATTTATTTTGCTTACATTACTTCTTTTACTTGATAATAGTGATACTTCCCCAAAAAGCAAAATAAACAAAGACAATGGAAGTTCGAAACTCTTTTAGTTTTAATACTGAATCATTGCCTACCACATTCAGAAACTGTTTTATCATATTTTTTTATTGAAAAATTAATTTATGATTAATTAAAAAAAAATGAAACTTGCTCAATTTATCATTTCATCAAATAACTACCAAGTCAACGTGTTTATTTTTTGTCGTTAATAAGATGGCGGTAAGATAACAGTTTCTGCTTAACTTGGGCACAAAAATATTTCCAAAATTAGTATTTCAGTTTAATAACTATCTCGTCAACACGCCTATTTTAAGACAATGATGATATGTATTGATTATTTTGATTCCAATTGTCTAGAGAACCATTAGTCGTATAGCGGCGTTTCACCAAGAGACCATTTTCATGTAAAAAACGGCGGAAATGTATTTTTTTCACTCAGTAGTATAATACAGGTACGGACAAAAAGTTATTAATATTCAAAACATTTAAAAAAACATGTTGAACAAACACCTCCTACAAGTATGAACCGTATTGACATCGAAATAAAATTTTTCATGTTAACCAACACCCAGACATCAATTTTCATCCAAATATCGATGTTAGTTTAGAAGTTATTTAGCAAAACTGAAAAAAAAATAAAGATTCTTCACCCTGTATCTCCAGAACGAGGCATTTTAGGATATAAATTTATAAGAATATTTTTATTCGTTTTTATCTGCAGAATATTCTGCCGAAGTTTCACGAATACAATTAGGACCACTCTGTATATAATTTTCTTTATATTTTAATTTCTAGAATTAAAATATCCTCCCATTGTGGCTCAACGAACGACAGTTAATGATGACCTAAATATTATTAACTGATTTTATTTTAATGAGTCAAATAGAATGAAAAATATTAACTTCATAACATAAAAGTGTATTATTTATTATTATAATGGTACGTACGTAAAATTAAAATCGCCATAATAAAAGCGTAAAAAGTTTTTGGGTAAAAAATATTAGCCGAGAGGCAAATTAACTCCGCCTCTGTCTGAAAGCCAACGGAGAAATCGTTTGAATAGTTCCTTCACGAAAGGAACTGGGATAAGGGGGCGTCAGCGCTTCAATGGTTAGCCCCGCCAAAGCCGCTCTAGTCAGCTGCTCCAGATTAGTGATAGTGCGTGTAGGGCATCTGTTATCTTCGTTTTTCTCGAGCAATCGGACAGAAACACACATATATGGGGATATGGACAACACAAAAGGAAATCTAATTTACTTAGTACAGAGCCCCCCAAGCCACAGCCCATCGAAGGGCATAATTGGCTTAAATGTTTATTTTTATAAATTTAACTACACAATAATTTTTCAAAAAATGCATACACAATAAGTGGTATTGACATACACATTATAGGTATTTAAACGAATAGTGTCCACTGATACTAGAAATATTGAGAAACATCTCATGAGCTTCACTGTGTTAGGGAGGTCGCGTGATTGCGAGGGTGTTATGGGAACGCCCACTATCTTTTTATAATCCGGCAAGATTCAAGATGATGGGAAGTAGTATTGTCCTCGTGGCGGGTTCTGATCACAAGCCGGTGCGAGAAAGTTAAGGATACGTAAACTGTCACTAAAATTTGGGTATTTGTAATTAAACCCTGATAACATTTTAATAAACTGTACAGAGTGAGTCAACGATAGAGTAAAGTCCATTATCTCATTTGTTTCAAGGTTTACAAAAAAATGTTTAATACAATAGGGATGGTTAATGTACACATTTTAAAATTATTATAGAGTATACACGGTGCTTCAAAAAAGTGTGGCGGCTATAACATATGTTTTTTTAAATGCAACACCCCATTTTTTATTTTATTTTTAGATTCTGCGTAAAATTCCATAACTTTTTTATATATAACGTTATATACCTAAAATTAACAGTTTTTGTAATATTTCAATTTATTTAAACAAATGTTAAATTGCAGTGTGGTAAAAAATTGTCAGTGGTGCCATTATTTCTGAAGTTGGAGTACCAAAATTTGGTAGGAGAGTTTTATAGAGATAAAAAAAAGATATATGTAAAGATATTTTAATTAAATGATACAGGGTGTTCAAAATATATTTATGAACTTCAACTATTAAAAATTAAAAAATCTCAAATTTTTTAAATGGGACACCCTATATATTAGCATTTTTTCTGGTAGATTTGACAACACTCTTCAACTTTTATTAAGTATGTCATATCTCTATTTTTAATAGTTTGCGATTTATTCCAATTTTTTCTATTTTTACCCATATTTTTAATACAATTACCCTATAAAATCATAGTTGCCATGACAAAACAAAACTATTTATTACTTACCTTTAACAAGTAGCTTTATAATTAGTTACAATTGCTGGTATTAGTTAAAATTAATTAACTTT